GGACACAAGGAGGCGAACATCACACACTGGGGCCTATTAGGGGGTGAGGGGCTAGGGGAGGGATAGCATTAGGAGAAATACCTAATGTAGATGATGGGTTGATGGGTACAGCAAACCACCATGGTACATGTATACCTGTATAACAAACCTGTACATTCTGCACATGTATCCCAGAACCTAAAGTAAAATAAAAAAGAACCCCCCCAAAAATCTAATTTACCCCATAAATATATATACCTACTATATACCCATAAAATTAAAAATTAAAACATTTTTTAAAACAAACAAATTAAAATTAAATACCTTGGGATCTAGTATTTGTTTATTTGGACAGCTATCCCTGTGGTATACACAAAGTAAGAGATTTTTTTGTCACTAATTGAAAAGATTATTTTTTAGCAAAGAGAATTAGCAGGTTCAGTGTTACCAGTCAGCTATAGAGTTAAAATTAACATCGTAACCTAAACCTAGACTTTAAAGGGTTTTTCTTCTTTCAGTGTCAACAATATATTTCTTGAGTGATGTGAGTTTTTAGTAGCATGCAGAAAAGTATATATATGCAAAAAGTTTAACAAACTACATTTTCTGTCATCTACCATCCAGCTTTCAATGTATTCCTGATACATTGAAATCTGTTGGCCAGCCATCTGACAGATTTCACCCATAAATAGATTCCTTATTGTCACCTCCACTAGTTGGTAATGTATTATTAGTCATAAGCAGTGCAGAATCAGAGCCAGTCTTGCCAAGACCCAGAACCAGAAAGAAACAAAACAAAACCAAAACACACATAGAAAACCAGAGTTATAAAAAGGAAAACAGAAAGAAGACTGTGTTGTTGCCTCTTGAGATTAAATTTAGAAGCCAAGAAAAGGCATGGACTTACAGAGCCCATGAAATGCCTGCTTGGACAACACAGCTAATTGGCTTAAGTAGGGAATTCACTACTTAAGTGTCTTTGGTGGGACTTCCAGTACTATCAGAATGTAATTCTCAACATCAAAACATAGTCACCAGAAAAATAGCAAATGTTGGAGCTTTAATTAACTAATTTGTGAGAAAACCAAGAGTATAGCAAGCTGTTTCCAAAGATGTTACAAGAAACCCTTGTAATTTTGTACACACACAAATAGTTATTGGGGGGAAATGGAATACTGAAATTAGATTACTAAGTTAGATTCAGAACTGGATAATGTGTTCTGTGTCATTAAAGCTATGATGTATTGGTTATCCTCTCTAGAGCCAGATATAATCATTTGCCTTTTATCAGTTTTTTTTTGTTTGTTTTTCAAATTAACATCTAACTTTGCAAATAACTATAATGCTTGGACTATAATTAGTAAATACTAAGTCAAAAAATTTACATTTTTATAGAGAGTCAAATGACCCTTAGGTGGGTTTGTTAGGGAATGCTCAAGAAAAGTATCCAGGAAACTAATTTGTTTGGTTGACTGGGTTTGTCTTATTTTTAAAATTGGATATTTTTTTCTTACTCTGAGCAGTTGGGTAGATGGGTATCTATAATGTGATACCGAAGATTGGAGAGGGAGCAGGTTTCTTGAGGGATTGAACACTTTGTTTGAGAGCCTTATTAGATGTATCCAAGCATATATGTCAGTTGACCACTAGATATATAAATCTGGAGTCCAGGGCTGAGTTCAAGGTGGAGAAAAACAATTGGGATCTGTATTACATAGATAGTATGTAAAGCTTGGGACCAGACGAGACATCTGTGGAGTTCATTTCTTGTGGAAGAATATAGGCTAAAGGGCTGCGCATTGAGGAACTCCTACATTTAGTGATAAAAGAGGACCAAGGTCCTGCCAGTGAGACACAGGTTTGGAAAATCCATGAGAATAAAATATTTCAAGACAAGAAAATCAAATGTTTTGACAAATGCATGACATATTGAGAGGTTAAAAGGATAAGATGGGATAAGTAACAAGATTTTGTTATGTGAAGTTGTTAGCAACTGATAAAAGACAGTTTTAGTGAAGTGTTAGGAACAAAGCCTGATTCAAATTCGTTCCCCCCAAAATAGGATGAGAGGATATATAAATAACTACTTAAGATTTTTCAGCAAAATGTCTAGAGGAAGAGATGGGATCAAAAAGAAAGGGATTTCGTTTGATTTTTAAAGATGGGTTATACTGATCATTTTTTCACTTTCTACTCATAAATCAATTCATTCAGCAATAGGAAGGGGGCTGTAGCAGTTTTAGTGATGCATAAGGTGCATGCTGTTATGTAATATCAGAATTGTAATATAACCAGTACAAAATATAAAACAAAGCGCCAGGAGACAACAGTCATGAAGCTAGAGAGGACTGAAAAGCTTCATTAAGCAGAAAGCCTTAAGGTGCATCTCAAAGGATTCAGATATGTATAAGTGATAGGAATAATTTTTTAAGAAACAGAAGCAGAACAAATAAAAGTTAAGAAATGGGGCAATAGAAGACATACTTGTGTTGTAATATTCACATTGATTGGATTAATCTGACTTATTAGATCCTCTGAACTGCCTCCTCAATTAGAAGAAATGAAAATACCTTAAATGTTTTCTCATTGAATAATTATAGTATTATAGATTATTTAAGAAGCTATACATATCCTCATATAAGAATGTTTTTAAGCAGCTAGACAAATATTTTATTTTTTGAGACAAAAAGCACCTCATAATTTATTCACCCAATCATTTTTAATAAACTTGACCCCCTCCCAATGATAATACTTGTTACACATATTTTTCCAGAACTTTTATTTGTCAAAATTGTACAATATTTCACTGCCAAGATTGGATATCCATAAAATAAAGTTTTGAATCTTCCCAGATCATCTTAAATTTTAATAATAAAATCTGATTGAAGACATTTTCCTATACTTTTAAACTTCTTTATAAACTAAAGAACAATGCTCAGAATTTCACAGTGGTATTTTTTTGTAGACTGATATTAAAAATGCAAATTGCAAGCTATAATAGAATTCTATCTGTATGGAAATAATGGGGAGAAAAAAGGATACATGTTAATTATTTCATACTTTCCTTTAAAGGTTAAAAAAATCATCAGAAGAGAGGTTTTCAGTAACCACTGTGGAGAGTGTCCTAAAAAGATTGATGAGAGATGACAAACCGCTGCTTTCTCTTTTGTAGGCATTCGATTGAGCATGGACATTTTAACTATGAAATTGACAAAATTCTGACATTTCTGTAGGTTCCCCAGAAGAATTCTGCAAGTAAAATTAAAAAAAAAAAAAAAAAAAAAAGCCTTAAGGATGGGTGGCATATTTAGATAATGCATTCAAATATGTTGGTAAAGACACAGAAGAAATTGACTGTAATATTTGTCAGGAAAGAAAGTCTGCTGAAGTTGGGAATATAAATCCCACAGGAATCAGTTTGAGACTAATCATATATAATAATACTCACATTTGTGTCTCAAAAAATGTGCATAAAATGCGTAGCAAAATTATCAGATTTGCAAGTGACTTTTAAAACTTTGAATTAATTAAAATCTGACTGGAATAAATTGAAAGACTAAGAATTATATATTATTATCAGAATTTTGATGTGGACCAGTTCAAGTAATGCAGCTAAGTATTAAAAATTACAAAATGTCCTCATCAAGTAGAGGTCTCAATTTTCAATTCACAGTTCATGAAGGATCGTAAGGACCAGTCTTGTCTCTTTTCCATAGCTTATAAACTCTCATTTCTGATCTTGCCCTCCCACCTTTCTGAACTCACCTCATACCAATTTCTCTCTCATGTATATGACAACAAACTTGTTACATAATCCCAAGACTTTCTGTTTTATAATTTATAATCATATTAGGATTTGTTCTGACTCACATATTAAATATCCTCACTGTTGAAGATGCTATGCTGTATCAGCTAGTGTGTATTTTGTAGTTCAAAACAAGAAGTAGAAAATGAAGAAGATCAAAATGGTGATAAGGGTCATATAAGTTAGGTTTTGCAAATATTTTGAGGAAACATAAAATTAAGAAGGTCATTTTAGATGTATCAAAACAGGTTTTCATTAGACAGAAGGGACCTGTATGGATAATAAAGTTGCACATGGATTGTAATTTAAAAGAGTGTAAGAATACTAACATCCATGCTCCCCACTTGCTTGCTCTCCCTCTCATCAGCTCTCAGACATAATTTACTTTAGCTAGTAGAAAGGAGTATTTTCCAGCTAACTTTCCATGCTGCCTAAAATAATTAACAATAATATATTCTTCGGGAGAGAAGGAATCTATTCAGATAAACTTGGACAAGACGATAACATAGACAAGTAAGTTTTGATAGAAAAAAAAAAAAAAAGAAATCAGCCTACATCATGCAAATGTGAGGCACTGAAAGAAGGAAATAAGGTGAAGAAGTTTGTGTGGAGGAAATGGAGCATGAGGGGACAAGGAAGAAGGAGGGAAAGCTTAATCCAAAAGCAAGTCTTTTTTTGTTTCGTTTTGTTTTTGTTTTTGCTTTCTTAGCAGTCTTAGACTCGTTAAACGGGATGTGTTAGTTAGAATCTCAAAGGGAAATTAGAACAGATACTCTTTTCATTTCTTAAACCTTGTTATATGGCAAATTTAAAGAGTATGAGTTTCTAAGAAAACATTTTTCTGTATGGAATGTATATGAACTTTTCTTAATAATTGAAATATTTTAGTTTTTCTCTGGTAACGTAGTAACTGTACTGTTTACAAAATTGGTCCGTAACATTCATCTCCCCAGGCATGGCATTGGTTCCATTTATTTTTATAATCTTTAAAAAGTTTATAAATGATACCATGTTGAAATGGTATTGTCTTAAGCCATGTCTAGTAATAAATATTTTGTGGGTGGTGATGTGATACTAAAGTATTCGTAGCTGTAGAGCCACTTATTTTCCCCCTAAAAATGTGTCTGGATTATTTCAAAATAAATTAGATTTAGAATTTCAGTTATGCTGACCTGCAATTTATGGATGCATGTATGTTTTTACTTTGTAAATATAGTTCATTTACCCCCAAAATGCAAGGCAGACGGATGGGGACTTCAGGAAGAGCCATCATGAAGAGCACCAGTGTGAGTGGAGAGATGTATACACTGGAGCATAATGACGGCAGTCAGTCAGACACAGCTGTGGGTACAGTTGGAGCAGGTGGAAAGAAAAGGAGATCCAGCCTGAGTGCCAAAGTGGTTGCCATAGTGTCTCGAAGGAGTAGAAGCACATCTCAACTTAGTCAAACAGGTGAGTGTTACGAATTCAGCGAACTCAATTCCTTGATGGGGAGACGAAAGTTGATCTTCATGCTCTGGCTTATAATGAGATTCTGGCATGTATTTGGTTCTTCTGTGAAAAGAAAATTTATTTTTCTGTCTCTGAAAATCTGATAAATAGATGGGTTTATTTTTTTCCGTGCAGCTCTCTTCACAAGGTATCACTTTTTAATCTGTAAAGTGGACAGATTTTTTAATTGAAAAAATTAAGGTTGTATTTGCAAATATGCAAGGAAATGCAAAGAAGTATTAAACATCCAAATTTATTTACATGCAAGAAAAGCAACAGGATTCTCTTTTTCAAAATGTTCCATAATTCAATTACTTATTTTTGGCTATGTCTATACTTTTTATAGAAAAGAAGGTCAGTTGTGCAACTTGACATATGCTCTTCAAGGTACTGTGTAAATAAAATAATTGAACTGTACTTGTTTTAGTTTCAATGTAAGTAAAACCCTGCAGCGATTTTTGCTTTAGAAAAATGGGTCAGTGGTTTTATGCAAAGAATAATGTTTTAATATAAATATACGTTTCAGATACTTTCTGCTACTTATAAACTTAAAAGCTTAATGTCCTAAAGGTATATATTTAAAAAGCAAGTACAAGAGGGAGAGTGGCTATGTTTATATTGTAAAATATAATAAAGCACTGCTTAAAATTATATAAAATTGGTCAGGCAGATTAGATTATTCATTATTCTGCTCAATACTATGTGAAACTAAAGGTAAGTAAAATATTGAAGTTATTTAAAGTGTCAGCACTGTTTTTCCTGTTATAACCAACATTGGTTCCATTTTCTGTTCCATAATAGCAAGAGCCTTATCACAAAATTTAATTGTACCAAAAAGCTTTTGCAAAATACTTTTTGTGTCTCGCTCAGCATTCTAGAAAGTACCTATTTTAAATTATTCATTCTGCTGGATATATTGGCAAATAAATTTGAAATAGTAAATTTGAGTCATGTCTTAAAATTACAGGGTTAGAATGAACCTAGAATAGCTAGCATCCTTGTGATAGATCTGCATCTTTGCTGTTCCAATTAGATGAGCTGTTCTATTTGTTATGAAGGAGAATTATTTTTCTTTAGAGTCAGGTTCCTTTACAGTAAAAGAGGCATTTTTCATTTGTGTTGTTTCTTTTGTTTAATTTTTTATGGTGGTGCTTCCTAATTATTGGTTTTGAAGTAATTCTTTATAGCATGAGGTGGTGGAGAAGGTTTTGACCACCAGACATCAAAATACTTAAATGAAATGGAAACATCCTTTGATGTCTTTGAAGGAAACCAGTGTTTTCTGTGTGCAAGACTGTAAGTTTAAGTGTTGGTTTTTCTTCTTCCGTCAACTTTCCAGTCTCTCTCTTTCTCTCTTTTCTCCCTCTTTACCCTCTTTTCCCCTCTAGCTAGTTAGTTCCCTGTCATTCATTACTTGAGTAGAATATAGTTTTCTTATAAAACACAACAGTAATTTTGCATGAAAACTATACTTGTGGCTTGTTAATGGGTTCAAATTATTGTCATCAAAACACTTAGCCTCTTTGCGTTTTTCATTTAAGTTTTATCCCAGTTATAGTCAGATGTTGTCTTCAAATAATGTCTTCCTTCCCAGAAGTTGTATTGTTAATAACTTTATGAAATACCCTATTTTCAGAGATTAGATTGCAATGTACATGTGCAAAAAGGAAATTGGATTATGAAGCCAGGATACCAAAACGTGCAGTTCTATTCCAAGGTGACTCAATGAATGAACTTTGACTTATCTCTAGGACTCAGTTTTCTTATATAATGGTGGGTTGAATGGGATGTCCTCCTGTAACCTTTCCGTGTGTAAAATTTTATGCTTTTCTTTGTACATAATAATTTAACCTTTCATTTGATAGCCTCTCCTTAGGTTTCAATCTACTTGATCTTTCTAAATCAATTAACAAATGTTGATAACCCTCAATTATCACCCCTCTTTGTTTTAGCCTATTTCTCTTTCTGATGACTTCCACTAGTGATTTTCCCCATTAAATTAATTATATTTCATCTTTCATACAGAGAGATAACAAAATTCAGAATTAATTATTCTAAGAAATTATAGTTTTTATTGCTTCGGGTGCTGCATTCACCATGAGATCTGTATTTCCGGATTTCTCTTCTTCTATGAAATATTCCTTAATTTTAATCTCCTATAAGAAAGCCCCTCTTAGATGTCTCTCTTTAAACAAGTTCAGATTCTCTCAATTTTCAGCCCTTACTTTCAATATAGATAGAAAGGGTATAAAGTAGTAAAGAAAGGTACATTTTACGAAAGTGTCCCTGATCCAGAAATATTTTGGAATGGAATGAATTTCTAGGTACTAAACTACGAGTTGGGTTTTAAAATGTGAAGATTTTAATCTGTGTTGGTTTTAGTGGCCTAGTCTATGTTATATAAGGAATTGTCCCCTCACACATATGCTAACTGTATAATACTCCATATAATATCCCACGTCTTCTATTCACTTAAAAATGAAGGCATTCCTTCCACACTCTCTCATGGAAGCCTTTCTTCCACTCCTAAACTCCATCTCTCTCTCTATTCCCTTCCACTAAGTGTGGAAGCTGCTTTCCTCTCCTGGATTCCATCTTTCTGGATTCGCTCACTCAGTGTGAGAGTTAGCCATTTCTTTCTCTCTCCTTCTCCTGTTTCTATCTTTAAATAAATCACTTTCTACAAACAAAAATAAATAAATAAATAAAGGCATTATTGGGAAATTTCGACAAGTCTGTGCAAAGTCATTTCTAAATACAGTTTTGAAATTACAATTATCATAAGAATGATAAGTATTCATATATCTAAGTGGATAAAAGTAATATATCTACATTTCTAGAGCTTTTTCCATGCTCTCTTCAGTTACGTTTGTGTGAGGGTATAAAATTTCGCCCCTTCATTGGTCACAAGATACTGATGAAATGTTATTTTTCCCATTTTAAAGCTGAAGACACTAAGAGAGATTAGATAATTTGCCCAAGGTCTCATAACTAATTGGGCCTAAATTTAAACCCAGGGTACCTGGTACCAAAGCCCATGCTTTTAACCCTTCTGCAAAAAGAGAGAGAGAGAAAAAAAAGTGAGCATGAGCACATTTGAGAGTTTGAAATAAGTTCAAGCATTTATTGAACATCTATGTGGTTGGTACATGCTAGGCATCATACCAAACACTGGGATAAGAGCTGGGATAAAGGAATGAATGGCGTATTGTTCCCGCTATCAAGGATATCACAGTATCATAGAGCAAATCATATATAAATATTTCATCTCAGAAAAGGCAATTACAGTTTAGAAAAGGCAATTATATTAAATACAAGTGTCAGAGTGGTAGAATGGAGACAGGAAAGGATGAGACTCATTCTGAGAGGCTTTCTTAAAGAGGTAAAGCCTGAGCATAAAAATATAAATCAAGATGAGTACACAGGGAAGGACTTTCCACAACAGATGGAACAGTACATTGATTAAATGTTGAAAATGGTGCTTAGTTTCCTGGGATATGGGAAAGAAATCTGTGTGGAGCCTAAAACTATATGAAATATTTCTCTAATCCCCATGGATATCACTCCTCAGTATAAGAGTAAGGTCATCTCAGGACAGATCTCAAATCAAATAAGTCCCATACAACTGAGACTATGATTTCTAATAGAACTTTTAGTTTTTAGGAAGAAAACATTTATAAATGTAAAATATAAGCCTTATAAACTAGAAATTACTCAATTTACTTTAACTTGTACTGTTAGGTAACTTTATCTGCAGTGCTATACCAGACACAGTGGGTATTTTAAAAATAGAAGTATCATTTATACTGAAAGGATATCATTTATGCCTGAAATACGTGAACCAAAGAACAAATGAAAAAACGTAAAGTAAAATGCCAGAAATAATAAAATCTAGTTCCATTCATGTATGTTATCAAAGGTAGTGGGGAGACAAATTAGTCAAGGATCTAAGTCCCCAGGATGAGGACACATGCAGCATTGGTAGATGATTTGTTCTAACCATTTAGTAAAATTATTTATTACATCATTAACAGCTAAGACTACTTTGTTAGAGTAATATCTTTTCTATAATTACTGAAAATGTTGATGTTATAGTCTAATTATGGAAAATAGTGCAGAATTTTTACAATTTTCAAACAGTTGTCAATTATGATGTATTATGAACGTGTTAAAATCACTTCTGTGTTTCTTTAGCAATAGGTATTCTGTACCTTTCCAATATTTTTCTACTATCAAAGTTTATTTCTCCCCTGTGCAGATCCTTTCCTTCAAGACCCTGTTCAAGACCCTCTAACTCTATATGTTGTCCCCCATTATTGTTACAGTTTGACTGAATTCCTAAATAGAGCTCTGTGACTTCACTGTCAACTTGCTGCCCATCACTCTCCATTTTGTCATTCATTTCAGCTCCCTCACTCTAAGCATCATCTTATTCAATCTCTATTTTAATTCCCCTTCACAATTAGATTTGAGACAGTTATTGTCATAGGTGGGAAAGGCTAGAACAGGAGATATTCTGGGTGGGACCCCAAGGGAATAAGGCTAGAAGGTCTACAGTGTCTTAGAGTGAGGCTGCCTCCACCATCCCTAAAGCCTGTTCACAAGAATGGTGCTGGGGCTGGCAAGATGCATAAACAGAGGCAACTCTTATCTTCAGGAAGCTTCACATTAGGAAGGAAAGAGATCAAATGTAGCAGTCCTTTTTTTCTTGATTCTAAGAAAACATTTATTAAGTACTTTTTATGTACCAGATTCTGTACTTGGAGCAGTAGGAATAAGAGGGGTGTGAGTATATTTGTGTGTGTGTGTGTGTGTGTGTGTGTGTGTGTGTGTGTGCGCGCGCGCACATACGCGTGCACATGCATGTCTCAGAGCAAAGGAATCTGCATTTTTAGAGGTGAAATGTGGACATAACACTTCCAGATGGAGAGACTGAAAGATACGGTACAAAGAATTTTAAT